TAGAAATCAACCTGATTTGATTATGTTTCATGTCCATAATAGTTTTCTCTTGGTAGAAAAAACATAAACATGTACATACAAATTATATTTCTGCTCGTTGCGAGAGGATATGAGGATTTCTACTATTATACTGACAGAATGATAGCATCACCTCAAGCATGTAACCATGGGAGTTAGTCTTTGTAACCTCACCTGAATGTTGTTGTAAACATAAATATGTCCTAAGAATTAGGGTAAGAATGAAGCCAATAACTGTTGAGTGTCTACAGATGTACCTCTTTTAATCCCGCAAAAGTTAGTCATAAAGGTGGCCACGTTACTGCATTTGACTGTTCCCTACAAGAATGAGACTAAGTATTCTATGCTTGCCACATGCCATCAACATACTAATCTCATTCTAATTAATTTTTGATCTTCCTAAACTTGGTTTTGTTCTTGCCTTTATAGACAAGCCTCAGCATATTTGAGATGATGGTTGTTGCTGCACGTGAAGAGTTGGTTAATATGAAGAAGTTCCTAATTAACTAAATTGAGCCATTTGCACAGTAAGTTATTTACTTTTATCATTGTGTAGTGGAAGGATAGTTTATTTGCTTTTTTGTCCTATGACATAGTTTCTCAACTCCGCCAACCGTGCTTCATATGAACCGGTGCCACTACAAGAAATATGTCAACTAGTGACCTTCTGTCAGTGACCCTGGAAGAATTGGTCATAGATCTATGACCATTTGAGACCAATTGGTCAAAAGCTGTTCGGGGGGCTCCAAACCCTAAACCATTGCGACCATTTTGGTCAAAAAGGTCGTAATTTCCTAACACGAAATGGTCATAAAGCAAACAGTGCTGGTCCGCTGCCTTATTTCTAGTTGTTAACGACCAATATAGATGGTCATAGCCTTGTAGATTGTGGTGGGTTGTGATGACTAGGCGCCATCTCATCAGTTTTGCGTATGTGTCAATTTTTGCCCTAGGTTGTGAAGCAACCTATATTTTTGTTATTCCAAAAATTCCCAAAAAATTCTCATAAATTTTTTGGATCATATCTTCATCAAATATGTCAAAAACCTTCCTTGCATAGTTCAAAAATAACTCAAAAATATTCATTTTCCTATTCTATTCAGAGCAGCACTTTGTGAAGGAAGTGTTGTTTATATATTCTTGATTTCCCTAAAAATTTGTGAAGACATTCTTCTTAGTATATGATCATCCTTAGCCAAAACTCACGCCCATTGGCCATGTGCATTTCCCGTACCGCTAATCAAACACTTGGCTGCTAATTCATGTTTGAGCATAGTTTGGTCTCCTCATGAGAATCTTATGTTATAATTTTCTTCCTAGCACCTACCTGGGGAGTGACCAACCCACTAGACATGCCTAGGCCACCCGGAACGCATGGCAACGCCACGATCACGTGGTAACCACACAACAGGCATGCGAGCTTATGCGCTCTAGAGTTGGGGCCCTCGGCCACCATCCAAACCTCGATGCCTCGCCATCAAACCATGTATTTATGATTAAATAGATACTTATTTACCTATAAATGATTTTTGGAACAAATAAAGAGCAAACTATGAGGCACCTGCAGTTCATTGACCCGCTTCCAACTGAGTCGATGGGAATTTGTCTTTTTCACCAGAGGTGGATCAAAACTTTTGACACCCAACCATTTTGTCAATTGTGCATTAAATATGGCCTAGTATTTTATAAAATTGATTAGGTCCAATTTTGCAACAAATATATGGTAGGTCCTTCACAAAAAACTCATTTCAGGCACTCGGAAAATGGAAAATGTATTTTCCGTGAAAAGAAACTGAAAACTCCCTTAGGCAACATTGTTTGGAATTCCAAGATGCACCCTTGTGCACAATATGAGATCATTTTAACAAACTATGCCATGAATGTGGCCATAAGATTGATCATTTGGCTTGAAAGCCATGAATCTTCACACATGATAGCTCATTTCTGAGAACACTTTTTTAATATAATTACCGTATTACAAGTTTATTATATTTCCTGGAAACTTGGTCTCATATAATGACACAATGTGAAGGTTTTCCAATTTTTTGATATTTTTTGAATTTTTTATGCCCGTTTCAAAATGCGGTCAAAACGGCGGGCTTGACCGTTCCTAGCTAGTGGTTGAATCTTGGAATTTTTTTTGGTGTTTCTCTGATTAAATAGATACTAATGTACCTATAAATGATTTTTGTAAAAAATAAAGAGCAAACTACGAGGTAGCTACAGTTCAAATTTGACCCGCTTCCAACTGAATCAGCGGGAATTTGTCTTTTTCACCAGAGGTGGATCAAAACTTTTGGCACCCAAATTTTTTGTCAATTGTGTGTTATGTATGGCCTAGTATTTTATAAAATTGGTTAGGTCCAATTTTGCAACAAATATATGGTAGATCCTTCACAAAAAAAACTCATTTTGGGCACTCGAGAAAATGGAAAATGGATTTTTCGTCCAAAGAAAATGAAAACTTCCTTAGGAAAGATTGTTTGTCATTCCAAGATGCACCCTTGTGCACGATATGAGGTCATTTGAACAAACTATGCCATGAATGTGGCCATAAGATTGATCATTTGGCTTGAAAGCCATGAATCTTCACACATGATAGCTCATTTCTGAGAACACTTTTTAAAAATAATTACCGTATTACAAGTTTATTATTTTTCCTGGAAACTTGGTCACATATAATGACACAATGCAGAGGTTTTCCAATTTTTTGTTTTTTTTGAATTTTTTATGCCCGTTTCAAAATGTGGCCAAAACGGCGGGAATGACCGTTCCTAGCTAGTGGTTGAATCTTGTAATTTTTTTGGTGTTTCTCTGATTAAATAGATACTTATGTACATAGAAATGATTTTTGGAAAAAATAAAGAGCAAACTACAAGGTAGCTACAGTTCAAATTTGACCCGCTTCCAACTGAATCAGCGGGAATTTGTCTTTTTCACCAGAGGTGGATCAAATATTTTGACACCCAACCATTTGGTCAATTGTGCATTAAATATGGCCTAGTATTTTATAAAAATGATTTGGTCCAATTTTGCAACAAATATATGGTAGGTCCTTCACAAAAAAACTCACTTCGGGCACTAGGAAAATGGAAAATGATTTTTCCGTGCAAAGAAAATGAAAACTCCCTTAGGTAACATTGTTTGGAATTCCAAGATGCACCATTGTGCACAATATGAGATCATTTGAACAAACTATGCCATGAATGTGGCCATAAGATTGATCATTTGACTTGAAAGCCATGAATCTTCACACATGATAGCTCATTTCTGAGAACACTTTTTTAAAAGAATTGCCGTATTACAAGTTTATTATTTTTCCTGGTAACTTGGTCACATATGATGACACAATGCGAAGGTTTTCCAATTTTTTGATTTTTTTGAATTTCCTATGCCCATTTCAAAATGCGGTCAAAACGGCGGGAATGACCGTTCCTAGCTAGTGGTTGAATCTTGGAAAACTTTTGATGTTTCTCTGATTAAATAGGTACTTATGTACCTAGGAATGATTTTTGGAAAAAATAAAGAGCAAACTATGAGGCAGCTGCAGTTCAAATTTGACCCGCTTCCTATTGAATCGGCGGGAATTTGTCTTTTTCAGCAGAGGTGGATCAAAACTTTTGACACCCAACCATTTGGTCAATTGTGCATTAAATAGGGCCTAGTATTATATAAAAATGATTTGGTCCAATTTTGCAACAATTATTTGGTAGGTTCTTCACAAAAAACCTCATTTGGGGCACTCGGAAAATGGAAAATGATTTTTTCGTCCAAAGAAATGAAAACTTCCTTAGGCAATATTGTTTGCCATTCCAAGATGCACCATTGTGCACAATATGAGATCATTTCTTTGAAGTTTTCATGTGAAAAAGTAGAAAATGACCCCCCCCCTAAAAACTCATTTCTCATAACAATTTTTAAAAGATATTTGTCTTATTACAATTCCAAGTTTGTTAGTTTTCCTAAAAACTATGTCACATTTGGTGACACAATGAGAATGTTTCCTTTTGAATTTCTCATTTCATAAAACTCTTTATATGATTCAACACCTTTTTTTGAAAAAATATGGTTCAACACCTTATTTTTAGTCGATTACGACCAATTTAAAAGGTCATAACGTGTACTGGGTTCTGATTGGTCAATGGACATGTCACGCGGATCGTGCTCAAACGCCGTCGGATGCTCTCGGATCCGACGACAGCCCTTTCTCCCTCACCCCCTTCCCCTCTTTGTCTCAAAAGAAAGAAAAAAGAAAACTCTCACCCACAAACCCTAGCGCTCCAGATCCACCTCATGCGCTCCCTCTCCCCTTGTCTCCCACATCACCGCCGTCATCCCTCCCGATTCAGATCCGACCCCGCCACCCGCACCCGTGCGCCACCACCCAGGGGCTTCTGCCGCTCCTGAAACTCCGCCGCCCGCATGCTCCTCGGCACCCAGGAAGCGGCCATGCCGATGGCCCCTGAGGGCGGCCTCGCCGCCGCGCCGCGCATGGAGCTCCCCGATACCCTCCCTTCCTCACCCGCGCAAACCCTAGCTCCTCTCGATCCCGTCCCCTTCCTCTTCACTAGCTCCCTTCTCCACCACCGCCTACCCTCATAGTCGATGACCCCCTCGTCATATTAGCACAAGTCCTTTCCAATCCCCCAGATCCAGTCTCGCTCCCGGCACAAGTCCTCCCACCCACGTCATCGCCGGTGTGCCTCGTCGCCGCTCGCCCATGCTGATGCGCCCTGGATCCCGTTTCTCTCCTCTCGCACCACGCGTCGCCTCTTCTCCTCCCGCCCCTGCTGCCATCTCCTAGCCTTTGGCTTCCTCTGCCCCAAGATCTGTGCACGTCGCCGTGGAAGATCCGGGAAGGGAGGCGAGTCTCTCCCACGGTGTCGCTATTGCACGGCTCCTTCGTGTCCCTCTCAGAGGACCAGGTGGAGAACCTGATGGGCGAGAGTCGGGATGAGGTCATCATGGAGATCTGTGCCGCGATGGGCGACGACAACACCACCAACGTGACGCACGAGGGGCCGCCCTCGATCCTGTGCACCAAGGAGGAGGTATCCATTACTTCTACTATCCTTCAATCGATTAGCCACATCCATTCTTCACGTTAAGTACCTGTGACAATTTAACATTAGAAAGTAGCATTGAACCATGATAGTAGTGATAGTCTGTTGAGTTGGGATACTGTTTAATCTCTTTCTCTCTTGAGCATTCTTGATTCATACAATGGATAGAAATTTGTTCCAACTTGAGTGAAATCTGCTTCAATATGTTAACATTACACTCATTGTATCATTTGTTGCTATCTGTGAAGCACTCCGTTAGCTGGTATGGTACATGTAATTGGTGCCCTGCAAAGTTCAGCGCCAAGATAAAATATGCAAACGCAGGCATGCAGTCTTAAAACTCTTTTATTTCTGTACTGATGCAAATACTGCTTGTGTAGCTGTACTAATGCTAGTTTTTGAAAACCACAAACTTGCCTATAGTTTGCTAATATGTGCTAGTGTAGCTGTACTGATGCAAATTTTACAATAGTATTTGTTGAAGGTGTACCAGAATGTTGTGCATTTTGCCGTAAATCTTGTCGGTGGATGTGCCATACTTGTCTGGAAATGGCACCATGTTGGAGGAAAATTTTATGTTAGTAGATTGGAAATATCATGTGCAATATTTCTCTAATTGCTTGTTGCAAATATGCAGGGCGGAGTGCTGCTATTCGCCAGTTCCTATTTTGAATACATTAGGCTGAGCGGTTTTCTAAAATCTCAGGATTCTTCTTTCTGTAGAATTGGGGAGTAAGTGGACCTTCCTTATTCTTGTAGCTTACTAGCTTATATTATTAGTTCACCTAAAAGGGGTCTGCTCTCAGTCTTCATTTTTATCGAGAATATGTTTTTTTTGTCTTGTGTATATTAACTGTCTATATGTGCTCGTATATTAGGGTGACGTCACAACAGGATATATCTCGTGCAAGGCTATGGTTCCTTGAGGGCCAGAAGAAGATCTTGCTTTATAGTGAGAGATCTCACTTGTTCCACGGATACAAGGTCATAGCATCTAAAAGGCCCTCCCTTGAGTACTTTTTATGATGTGTGCTCTTGCTACCATTCATGAGCATGCACCTGAGTGTTCCTTTGTGGAATGTTTAAACTCGTGCTTTTTAAATATGCAGATCAGGGGAGGACATCATTTGGTCGTCTACTCATTGCCAGGGAGAAAAGATTTCTATCCAGAAGTATGTATTAACTAGATTGTGGTCGTGCAGTACGTACTATGTCTGAAGCTGTGCTGTTGAAGTTCTAAAAGATTTATCTGTCTTGACCCTGGGGTTTTCTTTTCTTTCAACTTGTAAATATGCTCGGTGAATCAGCAAATCCCAGGTGTAATGTGTTTTTTTCTCGTCTAAACCTCCTTAGATATGACCTAATGCTGAACTTAGTGCTGGATGAAGCAGTCGAGTCTGAAAGAGTAGGCTTCCTTCCTTTGGATTTTACTGTCCATCTATTTTTTTCTAATGATTGATAGTTTCTACAGTTAGAGCTTAGGATGAGAGTTATGACTTATTTGTTCAGCATAGAACATTTTGTTCTACTAAAATTTTGTCAAGGCTAACTTTGTACTAGAGCACTGCATGGAGTACTAGATTACGACAAATGCAGAGTTTATGTTTTATTTAAACAACATGATCAATGTGGCTCTTGTGCATTTATAAAGAGATAATGTCGCTCCTTTCTTCTACAGTGTCGTGTGTAATAATCCTCATCTTGCAATTTCTACACTGGCGTTTATCTAATGCATGTACTTGTACTGAATGCATGTACTTGTACTATCTCTCTGGACTGCTACTTAGCTTGGTTTCCCCAAGTGAAAGAAAGTCTTCATGCAGTCCTTTTGACATGAAAGAATAGTGTTACAAATCAAATTTTGTTCTGCTTATTCTGCTAAGGTTGTTTGCAATGGTTATACATATGTTACACAATTTTTGCTGCTGGCTAATCAGCTTTAGAGATGGTAACATGGTGCCGCACTCTCAGGATCATCTTATGACACACAATCAATTTTTGGTGTGCTCAATTTTTTAATTTTAGTGATAAGGAAAGATCCCACCTAGTTTGCTGGCTCTCTCACTTGAGTTGGTTTAACAGTAGTGGCCTCCTGACTTGTACTCCCTCTGTAAACTAATATAAGAGCGTTTAGATCACTAAAATAGTAATCTAAACACTCTTATATTAGTTTACGGAGGGAGTAGTTGGGTAGGTAGCTGAGAAGACTCATGGTGCTGGCTGGGAGCAAAAGTTTATATGCATGGATAATGAACTTGCACTAAGTGGACACAAATAAAGAGCCGAGTATTAAATTAACTTGTACTAACTGGAAACAATATTCTGTATGGTGTACATAAATATCAAGTTGATAGTTGATCTGTAGCAAATATAGCTGCATGTAACTTATTTGCTCCTCGGTGATAGTCAGGAGGTGTTTGTTGTTTGGTGGAACTGCCTCATTTGTTCTGTTTGAAACAACCGACGCACAATTGTTTAGCTATGTAGTTCAGGATGGTGTGTTCTTTATTGCAGTATAACTGGTATGATCTCAAGTGCATAATTGCCATGTCTTTTTACAATTGGGGAATATGTTGTCATGTTGAATAATTTAGCTGCTTGACTATACCGTGTGTAGCCCTACTCAGCAAAGATTAGTCCTGTTTGACTGTACCATGAATGAACATGTCTTGTTCTACTTCAAGAATTTATTAATTGAAGAGAACCAACTCCAACAAGTGATAAGTACATGTTAATTATTATTAGCTTCAAAATCCAATCGATGCCTTCTTGCAATAACAATAAGCATGAGATTTTTTTGGTAGTTTCTATGCACTTTTCTACTCTGATATTTTCTTGTGTGCTATACCAGAATCTATAATTTCCTGAGCAATGCACAAGGACGATATCTGGAGCGATCAAGAGGATGAGCTGATTTTTGAAAAAAAGTTTGAAGAGGTATCTACTGCCCTTCTGATGATGCTTGAGGTGCTATTAGTGTTGTTGAACTGATAACCTTGCTATGAGCTGTTGATGTGAATCTGCAATGCAGGATGTACTGCAGGTGCATGTCCTTGTGGTACTATGAGATTTATTGGCTGTTTGGAGATGTATTGATATTGTGCCATGTATTTTATCATCTATATGATTACACATTAGTTTTACTATCAAAATATGAATTGTAGCAGTCACTATATTGGGTCGCTCTTCGGGTCACTTCTGGATGGTCTTGGTTAGAGTCCCGTTTAGATTCTGGGTTGGCAAACATGAATAGTTTTACTTATTCTGTCTTCTATGAAAAGCACCTATCATATGTCCCAGAGACAAACTTGTAAATCATGCTTTTCATAACATCATGCTTTGACACTTTGCTCTTTCCGAGCTTTTCCTGAGATGTGTACATATGTGTCTTGCATAATAAGTGCTTGTTCATGTTTGGTTTTCTCTAAACTTTGTTTGTATGATTGAGGGCAATTTACTTGGTTATTTGATGGAGCACTAAAATTGCCTTCGTGTGATGTTGCAGGTGCCTAGTTTGTGCTTGCTACCGAGCTCCATACTGATTCTGTAGCTGTTACACATAGAGCTCCATACAGATGTTGAAGAACATTGAAGACACATAGAGCTTGTAAATTCTGTAGCTGTTACATGTAGAGCTCCATACTGATTCTGTAGTTGTTACACATAGAGCTTGTAAAACAGTGATTGAAGATGTATTATGTGTTATTTATAGAGTAGCAGCTCCATACCGATTTTGGCTGCTGTTATTTTAAGTACTACTTGTATTTTTTTGTCTGTGCCAATTTAAATGCTGGCTATTTATTTACTATGAAATTGAAATCCGAAGAATATGACCTTGACAATTGGGACCCACTTACTAGAACCTGACAACTGGGACCAATTACCAGAACTTACAATTGGGACCCATCTCAACTGACCCATCTTAAAACAAGAAAAGAAAATGGTAATTATAAAAAAATCGGGAATTGTTGAGCCAAAAAGGCCATGGCCCAGAAAATAAAAAGGCTATAATGTTGGGCTAGGCCCATGAAATCGAAGAAAAATTGACAGGAAAAAATATTAAAAAGGCTGAATTAATGGGCTCGGCCCATCTAAAGCACCGAAATGGACCGGGCTGGTTCTAAGTAACGACCTTATGAATTGGTCACAATTTTGCCACGTCAGATTGCCACGTCGGATCCAACGTGGCCTGGGCAGAGAGCTAGCGACCAAAACAGAAGGTCATGGAATCAACGACCTTTTGTTTTGGTCGTGGAATTCCACGACCTTCTCACAGAGAAGGTCGTTAATGTCAGTTTATGACGGTCAGCTTTTGACCTTCTGTTTTTGGTCACAAAAAGGTCACAAATGGAAAACAATGACCATTCGGTGACCAATAGTGGTGGTCACAAGTTGACATATTTCTTGTAGTGTGCTCTCCCGTTGCAACGCACGGGCATTTGATGACAGAACGGACTTATGTAGATTGAGATAAATATATGCAGGAAGGAATTAAAGGAGACACTACAAAACTGGGTGATAAAGAGTTGCGCCTATGGACGATTAAATAGAACTGAAAAAAGTCCACGTCTACAGCGAGACACCTCGAGGAAAAAAGATCGGATGATGAGAAAGGAAAAAGGAGAGATTGGATCGGGATGACAAATGACCTGGATTCAGGCTTTAGCGCATGATAGACGAGCTGCAGGCCATAGCGGACGCTGCAGGCACAGGCCCAGCACACTGGGGTAGGTCGGGGTGAAGTTGGCTAGGTGTGTGTTGCAGATAGATGAAGGCACTGGGATGGGGCGACAAGGTCAAAGAGGATGAGTCGCGAGAGGTTGTGGTTGCCTGCATACATATGTATTCCCCTCCGTTAACAATGGTTGGTTGAAGCTTTGGAGTACTATAAACTTTCAGGGAAGGTAAAACCCATCTTTGGCACATTTGTTTTTAGAGTATTGATGTTGGAGATGACCTTAAGACGAGAAAGATTAAAGATTTGGTAAGCAGTCCATACTGCCTCAAGGGGGGAAGTTTTTATCACTGCTTTTTGGTTGTATTTATGTAAGAGGCATGGAGGGAGTTGGAACTAATTTGTGATTTCTATTGGCCATTTTTTTTCTAAAAATAGCAAGTTTCCTGGTGACCCAACATTGTAGATCAGAAATGTTCTTCATAGATGTCCATCCCAATTGCTAACAATTCTTTTGCACACTTAGGTTTGTGCTTTTCTGTGGTAATTTACTAAAGTTACTTTGGGTTATGATCCTTTGACATACACTTATGCCCTCCCCTACACATTATTTTCAGGTTGCCAAATATAGTACGTAAGGAACTATAGCAAGTGGATTGTTGAGTTTGCCAAGGATAATGGCACACCTAATTTTGGCAGATCATATAAAGAGGATATCTAGCAAAGATGCTTTGAGATTTACCCATGACTATATGAGGTTCCTATAAACTCCTGTTGCATGTTTAATGATCACCACAATAGCTTCTTTTAATGCACTAGAGAATTGTATTTTTGGTATCAGGTAAATAGTTCTTTTCTCACTGATATTTTTCAGATCAAGATCGAGAGATAGAGGGGCTGACAGGGGGCGATGGCAGCTCGTGTAGTGGCCAAGTGCTGGGGAGGCTGCCAGTGTCGTTGCCGAGCGCTGGGGAGGCTGCCGGTGCCATGACCGAGTGATGGGGCGAGCTGCCGTCATGGATGCGGGAGAGCGACCAGTACGGTAAGACAGAGCTGTGTTGGTGTTGGTTAGGTCCATGGCGAGGTTCCACGAGATGGCTCCATATTTATTGGAGGATATACATGATGACTGCAACTTTGTATATGTGTGAGAGGATAGATCATAGAACAGAGAGAAGGAATATGAGGCAATTTTGTTTGCTATATGCTTTGTGTGCCGATGCTTTTGTACGGAGAGAGACGCTTCATGTGATGTTGCTATGTGGCCTTCTATGCTCTGATGTGTGCTAACTTTGTACATGGGACATTCATATATTGGAATTCAGATTTGGAGCAATTTTGTTCGTTTTGCTTTGTACCAATGCTGCCACTATTTGTGTGATGCTGCCATTATTGTAGAGAGAAAAGACAGTGAGAGAGATGGATAGAAATTGCTAGCTATTTTGTGTTGTAATTGTTTGTTGTCAAAGCTTATTGTTTATTGTTGCAGATTGTTGTGACGGAAAAATCAAC